GAGTGACGCCAATATCACTTAAGTGTGCACTGCAGGAGGAACCCTTAGACCCCGTTCACATTGAGCGATTTATCGCGCGGTAATTCCCGCGATATAGCGGCAATTTACAGCGCGATATCGCTCTCCAATGCTTCTCAATGGGGCAAAGGGTCCTGCTGTCGCGGGTCGTGTGTCGCTTACAGCAGGACCCTTTTTGGAGCGGATTTAGCCGCGATTCAAGCTTGCTCAATGCAAGCATTTGCGCAATATCGCGCAAAATGCAAATCGCACGACAAACGCGATTTGCGAACCGCTCAATGTGAACGGGCTGTCAAGCTGTGCTGGCACTGTAAGTTACAGAGTGCCTGCTTTAATTGCAGTACCAACATTACAACCAAATGTGACAGTTACTCAAATCAAAATAGAGGGTAGGTGGTTGCAGATCATAATATAAAAAGGTAAACCAAGAGTAAAAAATGGCTACAGAAAATAAAAGATATCAAATTTTATTTTTTTGAATGCCATTGTAAACACAATATACAGTGTGGAAAATGATTTGATCCCCTGCCGATTTTGTAAGTTTGCCCACTTACAAAGAAATTAAAGGTTTATCATTTTTATCATAGGTGTATTTTAAATGGAGACAGAATATCAACCAAGAACCCAGACACAATGTTATAAATGTGAGTTGCAGCTCAGTGAGTAAAATAAGTATTTGACCCCCTACCAACCAACAATAATTCTGGCTCCCACAGACTGGCTATGTGGTACACAGATTAGTCCTGTTACTTTAAGAAGGTGCTCCTAACAACAACTCGTTATGTATATAAAAGACACCTGTCCACAGACTCTTCTGATACTGATTTTCCTCACAGTATACAAGTGCACATTCAAATCAAGTATAAACCATGTCCCAGATACTGCTGCTCAGTAATTCTACAATAAAATAGTGTCACCCCCATCAGAATATCTAACCACCATACCTTGAAATCAAAGGTGTAATTGGTGTAAGGCATCAAGTTGTTTTCATAGGCGCTCCTCAATTGGAAGCCATGTGTAATTCTTCCATCCGGGGTCCCATTCTTTCCATTGCAGCTGAAGTTTGGGAGACACTCATTGTATCGAAGCTCCTTAAAGTCCTTGTGATTGTCAGCTACCATTCCATTAGTCAAATACTCCACCACACCTGATGCACAAAACAAATGTACCGTAAATACAAAGCTTGCACAAGAAAAGTCTCCAAATTGTAGACTCTGCACTATACACAGAGAATGTTTCCTAAAACATTAGAGGCTATTGATAGGTTACATAGATACTACAGTGGTATTTCACCAAGTAAACATTGTTAATGATTGTAAAAGTTCACCCGATAGCATTTCACAAAATTGTAGGCAGTACGTTACACACATTTGTGATTTCTTACTCTAGTGGCCATCTGAATGGCAGATAATGCAACTAGAATCTTCGCTTAATGACGTCTAAGAAAAACACCATTACAAGATAAACCACCTAAGAAGCATCTAGTCTTTGAGACAAATCTTGGGTCTGAGCTTTTTCTAGGCCAGCTTAAATGGGCAAACTGCAGTTACGTAATTCAAAGGCAATACAACCCTCAGCCTTCTTTTGTCAACACATGTTAAAATTCCCCCCGTCATCCATAAGTATAAAACAAATCTCTAAAATACCCTGAACTACTCACATACTCATTAGTTAAGGGTATGCAAGCAAGTAAAAGCTTTATAACAAGCCATCACTGACATCTCTAGCTACTTCCACTGTGAAGTTATTCATTGTCAAAGAACACGAAGACTCAGCCTGGTTCACACTAGTCGCATGCTAAAACATTCTGGTTTTGCATTCGGCTGGTATCTGCTGGGTGTTTTTTTTTTTACTTTCGCAAAAAAAAAAAAGTGTACATCCCATTTCATGTTTCTGCACAGCAGCATGTTGTGGTGTCCTGCACGGCAGTGACCTCCAGTCCATATGTTAGGTATGCTGTGTGACTCCTATTGTCATCTTTGCACTCTGTCGAAACCGATAGATTAGGACTGTCCTCAGCTTCTTTGTCAGCAAGAGCAGCCAGGGTTAAACAGCTCATACCCAGAAGTGCTCAAAACTGAGTGCTTCCGGGTTCATATTGCCCAGCAGAAATCAGCAAATAGATCTCTAACACTCTGCTGTCAATGCAAAACATTTAGCCAATCTTCCTTGAATGCCATAGGACCTTGTCTAACACAATACATTTTTTATGGCTGCTGTCGTGTACAATATACTGTATACAATTACAAGATTAACTTTACTACACATCAATAAAACTAATAAGCCAACATAAAAGGCAAGTTGTCATGAAACATCTGTAAAGAACACTCGTGTATTAAATTTTTTTTTTTAAAAGCATGCGTGTACAGTAAAGCTGACAAAGGCAAAGTTTCACTCTGTCTTAATAGGACAACATGGAAAATAAAACTGAAGACATCAAGAAAGGCTTCTATACTCAAATTGTAATTCATTTTACCTGAATCGGGTAAAGAATTGAGATCAGCACACAAAACGAAGGGGATGGAATTTGGATCAGGTGCAGGGCTGCCAGGTCGGCTTGCAGACTTCTCTATAATGCTTTTCAATTCAGAGACAAACATCATAGTCTGGATAAGCTTGACATCAGAATACTCTGGGTCCCAATGCATGTGGGCATTTGCTACCATTAGTAGCTGTTTTTCTGTTGAATGATGGGGCTTCATGCCTTGAGATAAACACGATAACAATATTAATAAAATGCTCTTAAATTTAAAAGGTAATTTTTTCCCCTCCAAAAAAACAAAAAACAAACCACACTTTAGGGATGTTCAGATACTAAGTATCGTACAGATACTTTTCCAGCTCCAAGACTAGAGAAAAACTCAGAAGTTAGTCTCCATTCACATATAGCATCTCCTACGTGGCAACGCGAACGCTAAAAATCTTTCACCCGCATGGATTCCGCTCGTTTGCGGAATCTGGTTTTAAAAATACATTGCACTTGTACTATTTTGCCGCCTGCGCGGTTTCACACCACGTGGCCGACGCAGGTTTCTGAACAATGCACAATAAAGTGCATTTTTTTTTCTGTTTAGAGCGGCACTGCACCTATTCGGCCAGCCGAAAACGTGAGGACTAACGCTGTGTGAATGGAGCCTTAGGAGGCAGCTGTATCAATACCATTTTTTCCCAGACCAAGTACTAAATCTTGTCCAAGTACTCACAGATACAAGTACTGATACAATTTTGCTTATGGTCATGTGACAGTTTTTCTAAAACAATACAGACTAATCAGTTCAGGACAGTGGTGGAGCGCCAGAGCCCAGTCACAGCTGTAACCCTGTTCATGAAAATACCTATTAAAACTGGCATCTGAACATCCCTATTATATAGACACACACTAAGTGGACCCCCTGTTAAAAGCCATACTACACATTAATATTTGAGACATGGACATGTTACAATTTCTAAAATCCCTTTTTTTGACATGAAGTACTGGTTTTCAGACTATAAAACAATTTTATATAATTCCAACCACCTCCCCACCCTGTCCTTGGCATCCATTAGTATTTATTTACCATTATTGCGGCCTTCGCATTTATTATTAACTACTATTAGCAAAAATGTATTTAATTTTGCTTAGAGAGGGAACTGTCTCCAACTCAGTCAAGACAGTAAGTGATGGAAAATCTATTGGGGATTGCAGACAAATAAAGGGAGTGGAGTGAGGACGGTTACAAATTCAAAGCTTTTATTGCCGTCCATGCCTTCTTATTCCCTGTGACAACTACTTCCTCCATTTCTTCTGCAGGAGTCATTGACGGTAGGGGGAAAAAAAATAAATCAATCCAATTAAAACGAATACTTGACAGATTTCAACTATTCCCAATTCTAGCCAAAATAATAGTGTTGGAGTCCGGGTTCAAATCTCATTCAAGAGAAGAAAGGTGAAAATCCCTGTCATGTTTTGACTTCCCCACTACATGTTCCAGATACCCAAAAAGAAGATGAAATGTGGTGTTCTCGTCGCTGAAACAAAAGTCCCCATGGGGAAATTTCCCCCTCTATTCCTGTTCTGGTTTCTGAGATTTTTCTTTACTTTAACCCCTTCATGACTGAGGCCCTTTTTTCCATTTTTGCACCCATGTTATATTCCACATTTTAGGCCTGAAAATGACGTAAAACCCCCCAACATTATATATTTTCTGAATGCCAAGACCCTATAGAATAAAATGGTGGTAGTTGAAAATTTTTATGTTGCGCATGCGGCCCCTTCTTCGGGACGCAGAAGCGATCTGGCGACAGGTAAGTCGCCAGGATCGCTTCTGTTGTAAAGCCGACAGTCGGCTCTACAAGTTTAAACAGACTCCCGGCGGCAAAAGTCGCCGGGAGTCTGTTTAAACAGCCCCGATGCTGGCGACGTACACTGTACGTCGTCAGTCACGAAGGGGTTAATCCCAAGTGAAAAAAAAACAGAGGGCGAACCTTCCCAGTGGGGTCACAGAGCACAACAAACATCTGACAGGGATTTTAAACCTTCGACTGTCCAAATCATACAAGCATCAATACAAGCGATATGGCACTCACCTCCACCAGGGAGATCTTTGTGGACCTCTAGCAAAACAGAAACCCCAATATTGTCCTTTGTCATCACTCTGTTTAGCATGGCTTCTGAGCCCTCAGAGTTAGCCATTGCTACCTGGTTGAATTCAACTGTGTGCTTTGCCAGCAGTGTAAATCTAGCAAATGTAAGAAAAGAGTAAATCGAAGCAATACTTGATTAAAGGTATCGCTTAAACTGTGTGCAAATAAAACATTACACAAAATGCCTCCAAATTAAAACTGACAGGTAGGTTAACAGAACTATCGTCTGCATAAAATTAGTAAACCTAAAAGGCCAGTCCTTCGAAAACTGCCATTACAGACTTAACGGAAATCTTAAAATAAAATACCAAAAGATACACATGATGTAGTCTGGTATTAAGACTAAGTTTGAGAACCCCTGTAACATTTTCACTACCCCATTAATCATGCAAGTAGATGTGTTATTTTTCCACTTCTGTAACAGCACAAGCAGTCCAGCAAAAGGGGTAGATATAGTTTCCAAAAGCAAACACAAAATGTGCTCCTCTGTCCCCATCCATAGGGTGCAACCATTCTGTGCTAGTTTCTCTGCAGAATGAACAGCGTGGTCACGTTATTACAGGAAGTGGAAAAATAAGATCCACGTTATTACAGGAAGTGGAAAAATAAGATCCACCAGAAGGATCAAAATCTAATAAAAAAGGTTACAAAAAACAAAAAGCTGAGTTAATGCTAGTGACACATTGCATCATAAATTATTTTTGACTCTGCCCATAAGTTCTATTCAACTGTCAGAAATCTGTAAGCTGCCAATGCAGACCTCCTTTTAAATATGTAGCCTAAACACATATGCAGGAAGGGAAGATAGAACTCCACATCAGTGTACTGGTTGCAGATCAATGTCTGAAATGATTAAACCCAATAGATCAGCATGACAGCATATTTACCATAAGGTTAGAAATGGCAGTCCATTTTTTTTTCTACCAGGCTTAGATCTCTCAAGGACTCCTGCTGCATGACATCTCACTGTACTTACTAGTAATTGTGAAGGATAACAACACTATAAGTTACACTGAAATCATTCTAAATAAATGTAAGGTTAGGTACACAACTAGGCGATTGAGCCGATACACTGTTTTTGCGTTGAAAACTGCACGGTTTATGGGACCACAACTAGAGGTGCACCGAAATGGAAAGTTTAAAACCGAAATAAAATAAAAAAAATTGTCAGGTTGAAAACTTCAATGGGAATCTGCTTTGCGTGATAAAATCGCCTAGGTGGTGAACCTAGCCTAACAGGAGCATGACCACCCAAAATTCCTCAGCATACTACAGTAGAATCAGAACTATGGCAAGATCTTGCCCATGTATTAACAAAGAGGTAGGAAACCAGAGTTTGAACCAGCCTTCCTGACCCAACTTAAAACGAAAATATCACACTTCAGTGGATGATAACTTCAGTTTCTAAGCACTCTTTTAGGCTAGTGAGATGCAGCGGTAACAACCCAAAATGTTACAAATTACTTTTAAGCGGATGGAAAAAAAAAAAGTAACATTCAGAAAAAAACAGACAGATTTACATTGTTTTTTTTCCTGCAAAAGATTAGCTGGCTGCCAATGGTAGAATACAAATGTTTTTATTTCCTGAAACTGCACATGCTTTTAATGACAGTCTGCCAGATTTACTCTATACTGGTCTTCCAAGTGACTTTTTTTATGCAAATATAAAAACAGTACACAAATTATCTTCATCTGCTCACAGACTAATTGTAATCCCAATGAATAAATGCAAAACAAACATGCGACTAAGCCCAAAAGGGCACAAACATGAGTAAGGATGAAACTCCAAGAAGGTCATGTCTAGATGGTAAACCATCACCAGGTTTCTACTTTTGAATGTCAGCCTATCATTTCACTTACTTATCTGTTCTAAAAAATATTGCACAGCCATCCACGTGCTTTTTCTCTTGCTCAGACATTATTTTGGCACGCGACTTTGGAGAAAAGAAGCCATCATATCCACGTTCTTTTAATGCTGGCAGGAAAAGAGTGTAGTATTGCTCGGTTTCAACTTCCTATACAAAAAAAAAAAAAAAGGGCAAAACATACAATCAAAAAGCAATGATGTGTCAAAATTCAGAAGCTAAAGACCTACAGCAGGTTCGATTGAAAGGAGAATTATGGGGCGAGTGAAATGCACTCATTGCCATGTAAAAAGATGTGGGAGACAGCACCTTCTCATGTATTAACAGTAAATTAAAAAGTGGTGAAATTACTCACATATGAAAGGTAGATACAAGCATTTAATAAAGCCACCAAAGGACTATCCAGGCTGTGCAGCTGACGTGTTTCGGGGAGATCCCCCTTCTTTATAGCTGTGTGGAAGCTCGAGAACGAGGAGAAGGCACCGTCTCCACTGTCTGTTTTTACATGTTCTATGAGGTTATATCCCTTATGGATGGCATCCTCTATGAAAGTGTCTTGTTTCTGAAGAGTGTTGATGGGAGTTGTGCTCTTTTTTGTGTGTCTTTTTTTCAGACACTCATTCCCATACTCAGAGGCGACCTGTGACACCGCAGCGGTCACACGTCGGCTCTATTGATCAAGAACCGTGCGATCACATACCGCTGATCACGTCTCAGACACATTCATAGGAAAGAGCTTTGCTTACTGATCTTCTATCCATTATATATTATATATATATAGGAACTATGACCCAACATTTACAGAAAATAACTTGTCAAAAAAAGTTTAAAATCCCCTGGCCCTGCGTATATAAAACATGCGTCGGTGTGCCCATGTACAAAAAGACAACTGCATTGCACCTTGGGTATTGCCGTGTGCGCCAGAGCAATAATTCTAGGGCCAATATTAACGAACATCTGCAAAATGATGACCTATACGGGCTTCTAAAGAGTCTATGGACAATTTGGGGTACCATATTTTGTCGCTGTTTCACGGCCATGTTGGATATCTATTTACTTGACTTAACCTCATCTTTTAGATTTCACAAAAATGAGTATTATATTGTGTTTTGGCACTAAAATTAACTTGAGTGCGTTTTTTTAACTAAATCTTTTAATTTGAAAGAATGTGCGACGGGAAAATTTGCAACTGCCAGCATTTTATGCTACAGGGTCTTTGCTTTCAGAAAATATATATTTGAGGGTTTTAAGGCCTAAAATGTGGATTATAACAGGTGTTTAAAAAAAAAAAAAAGCCTCGGCAGCGAAAGGTTTAAACCATTCCCTGCATGACAAAACAAATGCAAAAACGTGCACGACTACTAGATTAGCGGTTTACTGCTTGACTAGAGCATGTACACAACACTTCTAGAAATAGTCTACTGACCAGGTGATGTTCTCACTACTTTTTCCAGAAGTCTCCACAGAGCTTGAACCCAAATTCAAGGCTCATAAGGAAATAGGAGTTTTTTTTTTATCAAAACAATATTTAAGGCTCTTGCCTATTTAAATGATCCTTTTTTACAACACTGAGGCTGCCCATGAAAAAAAGGACATGGTGGCACTTGCATTCTTGCAGAACAGGATCACATAAGAATTCCTATAGTCTAAAAAACCTTGCAATGTTTACAGCATATATGGCAGTGATTTTGGGGAAATAGAACTGGACTTCCACCTAGAAAAAAAAAAAAACTTGTTGCCAATGTGTTCCTGCTGAATACATTTTCCTTTCTGTTCAAGGGTTTCCCCAAGCCATTGGAAGACATTTGTTTTTTTCTGGAGTACAATTTTAAATCCATTTACCTGAAGACTGATGATATCTGCATCACAGCTGCCTATCTCTTCCATGATCCCTTTCTTCCGATACTCCCAGTTTAACGCCCAAGAAGGGCAGTAGCCATAGAGCTGCCGAGTAGCATACTTGTCACACAGAACATTAAAACACATTACTGTGAAGGAAACTGGAAAATAAAAAACAAACATGGCTTTTAGAAGAAGTCACTAGTACAGTCTTATCTAGACAGACATTTTTTTCAGGCAACCAAGTATCTAAAATTTCAAGAGAAAAGAAAATCTCAACAAGTAACTCAAAAGAAACGAAGATAACTTCATAAAAGCAAGCAATACGAGACCCACTGGTGACTTCCCCCCCAAAAGGTTGTCATCCCGATCCTTCTTTCACTACCTAAAAAGTTATTAACCTAAACAAGCATGCTTGATGTAGGTAAAGCATATCTGTTGTCAGTAGGTAGCGAGGAACGGAAAAAGATTCCAGCCCTGAATCATTTGCCTTTACAAGCTAGGCAGCAATGGCAATTTCAATATTTCTTTTTTCACACATTTACCGCAAAGCAGACAAAAAGAAAGCATTCAGTAAATGCTAGATATAAACAATTACTAACCTGTGACCCACCAAACCCCCCCAATTCCAACTAGTTCCTCAATAATCCCAAGGCTATGGGAACCAGAAATGTCAGGCAGAAGCACAATTGGCCAGCCAGCCAGCCAATCAATGCCTCTGCTCCTCACGCCGACAGCAGCTTTAAGACAGAAATAGCTGGAATGCCCCAGATGGACCCAGAGAGGAAATGCCGTGAGTCAGGGGTAAGAATCTGGGATTAACTGGATATAGGCTGCCAGACCTAAAACCAGTTTATGACTTTAAGAAAACCTTAACAGAAAAATAGAGGCTGCCATTTCATACCACCTTTAGTTGCCTGGCATTTCAATGCTTTGAAGTCACAAGGCTGCAATAGGGAAATCAGGACTCGAGATCTGATGTCATCTTTAGTCCGTATTCTCTGACTTTAGCAAGACTGGACAGGGCTCAGGCTCACTTGTGAAGAACTGGTTTATGGGAAGAGTATACTGCCTCCAGTGTCCAGAACTCATGGTGGATACCACAGGGTACAGGAGAGTGTGATTTTACATCCTTCTATTGTAATAGGTTTACTATAATATAAAAGACTATTTGGTCCTTCTTGGACTGCTCTTTGGTTTTGTCAGTCACTCAAACTGCAAAGACCATGTATAATACACCATGGGGCAAAGTCTAGGACGCAGTGCACCCAACTAGAACTATAAAAATAAAAGGTTCTATATGCTGAACGTTCATATGGTCAAGTAAATTACCAATTAAAGGGTAATTCCACTTCACACCAAACGTGAGAAAAAGAAATTACCCACACAAAGAAATCTCCCCTCTCCCCACCGCCACTGGTCATACCCCCAGAGCAGCCTAAGAAGTGTTTTTCACTGGCCAGCGTGGTGCTCGCCATTTGCAAGCATTACTCCAGATGCTCTGTGCAGGACTGCAGAGTGGTGCCAACACCATACACTGGCTGCTGGGGGAAAATGACTGTTTTAGCCCGAGAGTATTACCAATGTGGGTGGAGGGGGCAGATGTGTGAATAATCTCATTTTCTGACATTTGGTGAAAAATTGGAATTGCCTTTAAAAACACTTTTTTTTGGTGAAAATCCATCAAGCAAAAAAAAAACCCAACAGTTTATATCTGTCCCAAAAAAAGGGTATAAAATTCATTTCAGTACAGCGCTGCATGACGGAATAAATGTCAGTCAAAGTACCGCAGCGCTGAATACTGAAAAATGGCCTGGATGGGAAGGGGGTTTAACACCGCGGATGTCAACTGGTTAAACAATTTAGATTTTACAATATACAAATTGAATCTGGATGGAAAAACAAAAATCACAACTAAACTGACCCTTGGTCTCCCCCTAGTGGATAAAAAGCAAAATGTGCCACTTCTGTTCTAGCTCTGCAGCAACTGGATTCAAAGAAAGCCTGGACTAGAATAACTAAAACTGATCCAGATACCATTTGACCGGATTATATCCACATACTGACATTTGACGTAATATGCCAAACTGCTTTGCAACATTAAAAGGACCATTATGCATGAAAACTGTAATATAGTATGTATTTAAATACTGGTAAGGATAGTATTCAGAACACAACTTTAAAAAAAAATACATATTTCAAATGCTTTTATTTATATTTTAATTTACATTTACACAGATCAAGCTGTGCAGAAAAATGACAGTCACAGGGTTGGGACAAACTATATAACATAATATCTCTCAATTAAAAATTAAATAAAAAAAATAAATACATGTCCATCCAAGACTACTCTATCCAAAGGGTGATAACACTGCTGCGTATTACTATAGAATTAACAGCTAAAAAAAATAAAAATCTAAGGAGGCTAAAACTGCCGCAAATGGTTTGATAAATACCCCCAACTATATTGCCAAAAGTATTGGGACACCCCTCCAAATCATTGGGTTCAGGTGTTCCAATCACCTCCATGGCCAAAGGTGTATAAAATCAAGCACCTAGGCATGCAGACTGCTTCTTTGTGAAAGAATGGGTCGCTCTCACGAACTCAGTGAATTAAAGCGTGGTACAGTGATAGGTTGCCACCTGTGCAATAAGTCCAGCCGTGACATTTCCTTGCTACTAAATATTCCATGGACAAATGTTAGTAGTATTATAACAGAAGTGGAAGCATCTGGGAACAACAGCAACTCAGCCACCAAGTGGGAGGCCACGTAAAATGACAGAGCGGGGTCAGTGCATGCTGCAGTGCACAGAAGTTGCCAACTGTCTGCAGAGTCAATAGCTACAGACCTCCAAACTTCATGTGGCCTTCAGATTGGCACAACAACAGTGCGTAGAGAGCTTCATGGAATGGGTTTCCATGGCCGAGCAGCTGCATCCAAGCCTTACATCACCAAGTGCAATGCAAAGCATCGGATGCAGTGGTGTAAAGCACGCCGCCACTGTACTCTAGAGAAGGGGAGACGTGTTCTCTGGAGTGACAAATCACGCTTCTCTGTCTGGCAATCAGATGAACGGTACTTGCCTGACTGCATTGTGTAAAGTGTGGTGGAGGGGGGATTATGGTGTGGGGGTTGGGCTTTGACCCTTAGTTCCAGGGAAATCTTAAGGCATCAGCATACCAAGACATTTTGGACAATTTCATGTCCCCAACTTTGTGGAAACAGTTTGAGGATGGCCCCTTCCTGTTCTAACATGACTGCGCAAGACAGACAGACACACACACACACACACGCACGTTAATTTTTAGGCCTTTAACGTATGCAAGTTGCAGACAGTACTAAAAGTCTAACCTTTAATAAGCAGTACCCTTTTTACAAATGCATACATGTCTAGTTGTCAGGGCTACATTCCTCAGTAATAGTATATGCAGTGCTAGTAATTTCATTCATGACGCCTTTTATCAGGGGTTAATGTACTGTATTTATATTATACTAACCACCCAGAAATCTCTTCCAGACAGAAAGAAAAAAAAACAAAAAAAACACAACACTAATCCTTCCCTGCCGATTCCAACACTAAGGGGCCTATTTATAGCCAAGATTAGATACCACAATCCAATCTACAGGCAGTATTTCTCCACAGCCCAGTATGCAATTTATAGCCCATTCAAAAAAAGCAAGCTGCAGTGTAGAGCCTGTGGTATGTCACCAAGTTGCTTTTGCTTAAAGCAGCAGACAGAATTCCGTAACTGGAGCAGATACCAGTTGCGTTGCCAGGTTCACCTTCGAGCTCCCCCACACCCCCCAGAGTTTTGTCCCGAAGTTAAGGACAATGCATTTGTAAAAACACAGTGAGCGAGTGAGCTTAAGAAAAAAAAAAATTTGGCCACCGATTGTTGAAAGGAGACAAGAGGCTTATGAAAGGCAAAATAGAGAAAAAGCTATACCGGAGGGGAGAATTTGGTCTCTTTCTTTTAACGCAATCCACGGCCTCTGAGGAAGCTGTTCTGGATGAACTGCAATATACAAAACACATTTAAATGAAAATTATCTTTTCTTAAGGCAGATACTGCTGTTCAAAGGAAATCTTAATTTGTTGATGCAGGAAGAACACACATGCGACAAGTTAATTTGTACTTTAACTTTATTAAAATTACATTCCTATATATACACTAACACATTTCTTTAGCAGTCAATATAACTCAAGTTGCTCTTCCTCTCAAGAGTATTACATTGTAAATCAGAATTTACAAAATGTCCACATCTCCTTGCTTCTGTAACTAGCTCACTGGTTCTTCCTAAAGTCTGCATAGAGTTTTCAATCACAATACAGTAGGGCTGCAACAACTAATCAATTTGGGTCGACGGTGCAAAAACGAATCGATGGGTTTGCTGCAAGCTGCCGCCTGTGTCCCCTTCCATTAGAGCAGACACAGAACGCTGCAGCCTGTGCCCCGACCATTGCCTGCTGTGTTGACATTCAGCTGCCTCAGTAGGCAGCTGTCATTCCCCAGTGAAGTGGGAAGGCGACACTAGGGGTCTAAAAGACCCCTAGAGTCACCTTAAAGAGAACCTGTCACTTCTAATGAGCCATAACATAGGGGGCTTGTGAGCCGCAGCATGTGATAGCAATGAGGAAAGAGGGGAAAACAAAAAATAAAAACCCCAACTCCGTGTACTAAAACACAAGTAGGGGGCACCTACATGTCAGGTATTGCCACATACGCAGGAGTCAGCAATAATTATTGGGCCAATATTCATGGTCTAAACTGATTGAATGGGCTTTCATAATTTAAAAAAGTGCAAGAAAATGTGCATACCAGTTTTATTCTGAAGTAAACCATGTTTGCAACGCTGCATTTGTCCATTTCAAATAAAAGATGGGGTTTTTTTTATACAATTATTTATGAAAATAATAGTTTGTTGCAGCCCTAAAATACAGGCAAGCCTGTTGCATTAAACTTGGCATCCCAACAATGACCTTTGGCCATACTGCAATAGCAGTTTCATAGGGTGTCAAAACATGCTGCACAATGCCATAGTAGTGCTAGGACTTTTACTCTTAATACTAGGACCAATCCTGTAAATATTTGCACAATGCTTTAGACATCAGCAATCCAGGTAACAGACTCTACACAAGAAACATTATGAAAGTACCTGCTAGATTGTCAAGCATGTAGTTCAGTAGCTTTCGGATTCCATCTGGCTCCTGATACAGACTAAGAATGTCCTGTGTTAAAGGATTGCCTATGAAATAGGAAAACAATTCCATTAAAAAAGTGTTAGAATAACCTGCAAAGATTTCACACAAAAAAGTTACAACATACATGGCATAGTTATACTGGGGGGGAATAAAGAGATGCAGCAAAGGGTCAACAGTAGAGCTACACAGGTAACCAAGCAACCAATATTTCTAGCATTATCCAGTAGCGACTGATTGCTAAATAGAACAAATGGCTCCCTATGATGTATAATACACAAGTAACATGCAGTGGTGACTAATTCCACACTGAGGTATAGTGTTAGCATGCAAAATCAATCAATACCACATATACAACTTCTGTAGTTTATACATTTTAGCAATCAAATCGCTAGTCTTTGCAAATAGCAACTATAGTAGCATTAATGAGCTATTAAAAATCACCCACACTTTGACTAAGCCTTGCAGACTACAAAATACTTACAAAGTTACAACTTGCTTGATTGAATTTACCCCAAATATAGGAAATGTATAGAGGCTGTGACACATTGCACGCGAAGCAGCGGCGTGCTGCCTTCGCGTGCAGTGTGTCATGTAATTTTTTTTCCCCCAACATGTCAGCTTGCGAGAGCTTGCATAGCTGAGCGTGCGGAGATGAAAAATGTCATCTTCAGCCAAACGGCTCACACGTCACGATGCGAACTCCATCCGGTTGTTACAAGTGAGCCAATCTGGCTGCACTCCGCTTACACACTGCATGCGACGCTCCGTGCCCGACAGCTGTGTTTCGCTCTGCACGGCTTTGCATGCAGTGTGTCACGGGCTTAATGCTGCCAGGATTGAACTATACAACAGTTTTTCCATCACACAACATACAACCATATAAAAGTAGATTAACTGTAGTTTGTTTAAAGCTAAACTCCTGGAAGATATAAAAAGGACACAAGTTAATGCAGCTACGAATTCATGAACGTAGCCTTAAAAATGTATTTTTAAATTATAGCAAAGTAACCTGAATTTGGCTTGAAATCAGCCTTTTGTATTATATGGCCACAGTAGAGCTCATGCTGGAGCAGGGAGCAGCAGCATAAACAAGCAGCAGAGGAGAGAACAGACCAACAGATGAGCTCAGAAGCAAGCTGCTTCACCTTTTAGGGTGGCTATGCTGTGTGGCTGAGCTGTGGCCGTGAAAGTCTTAGCAATGGATGGACACACTGAAATCCTTTGTCAAATGAAACTGCTCCTAAAAACACATTTAGGCTGTGCATTTAGCAGTTTGCTTTGATTTCAGTACATCCAGTCTGGCAATAAAGCAGACAAAGTGGGCAGTTATCTACCAAGATAAGAAAGACGCAAAAACAATTAAAAAGGCATGGCTCAGATATCCAATGAAGGGAAAATACTCTAAACGTTACAACTTTTTCCAAGCCATCTTAAAAAGTTCCAGGCTATGCCCTTAAAATTCCAAGGTTTGCTTTGTACCCTATGATAGGGTTAGTATACAAACTGCACAATGGAATGACTGTTGCTACTTTTCTAATGATGTAAACCTTTCCTCCTCTGATCAGATTTATAAATCTCAGACATTAGGGCATCACAAAAAAACTTTTTTTTAAATTTCATGGCTCAATCTAAATTTATTAAAGTTTCAACTTTACAACTCAACGACAGAACACTAAAGAAAATATATACATAAATATACACTGCCAACAATTAGCACAATAGAAGGTCTGTTGTACCAAAAATCGTTCTATAGGTATACAGTGAGGAAAATAACGATTTGATCCCCTGCAGATTTTATCACAGGTGTATTTTAAAATGAAAGAGACAGAATATCAACCAAAAATCCAGAAAAAACACAGGATACAGAGGTTATAAATGAAGTTGCAGTTCAGTGAGTAAAATAAGTATTTGACCCCCTACCAACCAACAATAATTCTGACTCCAACAGGCTATGGCTATGTGGTACACAGATTAGTCCTGTCACTTTAAGAAGGTGCCCCTAACGACAACTCTTTATGTATATAAAGACACCTGTCCACAGAATCTTTCTTCCATTCAAACCTCACCACCATGGGCAAGACCAAAGAGCTGTCAAAGGACATTAGAGGCAAGATTGTAGACCTGCACAAGGCTGGAATGGGCTACAAGACTATCAGCAAGAAGCTTGGTGAGAAGGAAACAACTGTTGGAGCGATTATTCGCAAATGGAAGGAATACAAAATAACCATCAATTGCCCTCGGTCTGCAGCTCCATGCAAGATTTCACCTCATGAGGGGAGGATGATCATGAGAAGTAAGGGATCAGCCCAGAACTACACAGGAGGAGCTTGTGAATTATCTCAAGGCAGTTGGAACCACAGTGCCCAAACAAACCATTAGTAACACAATATTGAGCTCTTTGGCATTAACTCGACTCACCGTGTTTAGAAGAAAAATGTCGACTATGACCCAAAGAACACCATCCCTACTGTCACAGAGGTGGAAACATTATGCTTTGGGGCTGTTTCTCTGCTAAAGGTACAGGCCGACTTTGCCACATTGAGGGGGGCCAATGGACAGGGCCATGTATTGTAAAATCTTGGATGAAAACCTCCTTCCCTCAGCCAGAACACTGAAGATGGGTTGTGGATGGGTCTTTCAGCATGACAAATGACTCAAAACATACCACCAAGGCAACAAAGCAGTGGCTCAAGAAGAAGCACATTAAGGTCATGGAGTGGCCTAGGCAGTCTCCAGACCTTAATCCCATAGAAAATTTATGGAGGGAGCTGAAACTTCGGGATGCCAAGCAACAGCCAAGAAAGCTTAAGGATTTAGAGAAGATCTGTAAAGAAGAGTGGACCAAAATCCCTCCTGAGATGTGTGCAAACCTGGTAACCAATTGTTAAGGTGCCCCTACACCTTACGACCATCGCAAGACTTTTGGTCTTGCGATGGTCGTATGCTTCTTGAAAGCCCGTACGATCTGGCCACCTTGGACGGGCAGATCGTACTTGCGATCATCGAAAGCCCGCCCCACTGAGGGGCGGGCTTCCGATGACGGCAATGCAGAACAGGCAGTGTGCGCGTGCGCACACCGGCCCGTTCCGCAGCTATCGGGCGAGCAGGCTAGAAACCCGCTGAGAATCGTACGATTCTCTGCGGGTTTTCGAACATGTTGGCTCAACAAAAGACGTGCGACCATACAGTAGAAACGGTCGCACGTCTTAGTTCACACTGCTCGATTCTCGTACTATCGCGGGATTTCGCCTGATTCTCGTATGAGAATCGAGCAGTGTATGGGCGCCTAAAGAAACATTTTACCTCTGTTTGCCAACATGGGTTTCTCCACCAAGTACTAAGTCATGTTTTGCTTAGGGATCAAATACTTTTTTTTACTCACTGAACTGCAACTCAATTTATAACATTTGTATCATGTGTTTTTTTCTGGATTCGTAGTTTATATTCTGTCTCCATCATTTAAAATACACCTATGATAAAAAAAATTATAGACCTTTCATTTCTTTGTAAGTGGGCAAACCTACAAACTCTGCAGGGGATCAAATAATCATTTACCACTGTGTAGGAAAGAGCCATACCAGAACAGAATTCATATCCTAGAGGATAAAACTCCCTTAGTTTGTAAAAAATTTGGATATTTAACATGTTAGTTCATATGTTTACAGAGAAACTAGAAAATTATATCAATAATATAGAATATTCCATAATAGTCCCATCTCATCAACACGCCCTAACACAATACATAGCCCCTGTCGAAATGGGGGCGAGATCAAGTCCCTGAGGTTCCACAGCCAAATGTTTAAAGGTCCACAATGTGATCCATTTTCACTGCCCATTCTGCCAATGTAGGAACCACAGAAGAGCACCAGTGTCGAAGTATAACTGCCCAGGCTGCAGTGAGAAAGTAACGAAAGACGTCTCTCAACAGCAGCAGGGATCATTGAAAAGAGAGCCACCTTAAGGTCTGCTCGAATTATGTAACCTGTCATTCTTGTGTAGTCTGTAAATACCCCCCGCCATTCGGGAAGTGGAAAGGAGGAAGGATTTGGATTGGATAAAGTTAAAATATGATAAATCTGAGATACGACGACATGTGTAGGTGGTGAATCAAGCAAAAGAAGAAATTCAAGGACTCTGGGACAATCCTGCAGCCTGTTCGGTTGAGGCAAGGATGTTAAAGAGTGGAGTTGCCGTTTGGCAAACCAATTGCGGCTAGCTGCAGGACACCAGTTACTAACAAGCTAGGAGAGGAAAGATATAGAAAAGGACGCTCACATAATGAATTTCCAAATACCGAACTTCAGCCCATGCATTGCTGGTGGACAAACTGGATTATTAAACAAATGGGTCAATGGTCCAAGATAAGTGGACAAACAGGGATCGATTCGAGGAAATTATCCCATGCCAGTAGCATTTGCATAGCTAGAGCAGGAGAAAAAAAAAATATATAGGATTTACGCTGAGTAGGTCGAAGCCAAGGTAAATTGCGTAGATCTACTTTTGCCAGGAGATTCTCTAAGCTGACCCAGAGCTCATCATCAGCATAATGGAACTAGTCAAGAATACGTATCAGAATGGCTGATGATATAGAGATGTTTGGGGCATTAGCCCCTCCTATTTTGTAATTAAAATTTGAACATTGCAAGGTTCTCATCGTCACACTGCATAGACTTGGGAGACAAAAAAAACAAACTGTCTGGTGTTTTTGTGAAAACAAAGCATTTTGAATCAAGCATATACTTTCCTCATGTATCCAATCACAGATCTAACAGCGACACAATTAACTTGCCTTTTAACCCCAGGGTCTGAAGCCTGAACAGTCGCCCCAATTCATAAGGTAAAACCCGTAACAGATTGTTATTTAAAAGCAATTCCCTGTAATGGAAAAAAAAAAGGACACATTAAATGCAAATTTAAAAGAACAAAATGAAATAAAAAGGGCATACAATAGGAAAGGATATTCTCAGAGAACTCTATGGATGTTTACATTTTGGGTTACCATCCCAGAAGGGATTTAAATGTAAGAACAGCAGCTTGTCAGTCCCAGCATCTGTGGTAATATCAGTTTTCCTTTTTCAGCCCCCCGCTTTATTTTCACATAGTGATTCTGCCACTAAAAACACAATATGACCGATTCACAAAACTCAGTGTAATGAGAGAAGTTAAAGGGACACTAAAGTCAGGAGCCAAAATGATTGCATTCAAGTATCTTAATCAATATCAAAACTGTGCCTTATTTGTGTATCACTCGGATGTAGATCTTCAAATCATCTCTGAATTGGTGATGACACTGCCTTCCTTCTGGAGGGTGGATACTTTTCTTCCCCATGGTGCGTTAAGTAGTTACGGCTCCAAGCTCGCTCCCTGAGATGGACTACAATCTCCATACAAATTAGTAAACTAAACAAGAGCTTGTAGTCCATCACAGGAGTGAGCTTGGAGCCGTAACTACTTAACGCACCATGGGGAAGAAAAGTATCCACCCTCCAGAAGGAAGGCAGTGTCATCACCAATTCAGAGATGATTTGAAGATCTACATCCGAGTGATACACAAATAAGATACATTTTTGTTAATAGTTATGGTACTTCAATATATTTTAAAGATTTAACTCCTGAGTTTAGTGTCACTTTAATTTATCTGTACTTTTTTTTACCACTCTTTGCTTACTAAAACAATTCATAAAAGCTGGAATCATTATTGTGTGCTTGGTTTTACATGTGACACATGTACATCAAGCAAGTGTTATTTTTACATCAGACTATTTTATTTATTGCGGTGATAAAATTATGTTTTGGGTGTCAGTTTAACATTTTTAGTGCATTTTGGTAGCAGAAGAGGTGAAGCTGATGCTCTGTAGATGATTTTCACCAAGCATTCCATATATAAAAAAGGAACAGTGCTACCTACATACTAATTTAAAATTTAGGAGAATCCTTAAATGAAAATATATGAATTAGGTGTATTTATATCTACATCTGCCAACACAGTGTAGGGAGGGCAAGCAATTCTCCTGACCACCCATTTTATATTACATTTGTGACACAGAACAATCCACTTACACTACAACCCCACTGACAGATATCTGATTTTGTCTCATTTGACCCAATAGGAAAAGAAAAAAATAAAATAATTTTGCTTTGTTAAAAGTCAAAATTTTTGCAAGATAAGCATTTTGAGAATTTACCACCATTACATAGAAACTATATGTGTGATATCAATAAAATAACTGGCGAAATGAAGAAAAAAAAGCTTTGTGGATGGACCATTTTATGTTGTAGGGTGCAAATGCTCACTCACCGCAGTCTATGGAGAAGCAGCATTGTCACCTTGAGACAGAATGCGTAGTACTACAAAACACTTCCCCTTCTAATCTCAATATTGAGGTGTTCTCTAATTCACAAAAGTCAAAATTGTACAGGGCTGATGAGCCTGCTTGAGACAACTGTGCACATCTGCTCTATAAAACAATACAGCCCCCTGCCCATTTAAGAAGTCTTAAAGAACTACAGCCAAACTTTTTTGGGGTCACAGGAGTACATTAATGTCCTCATATGACCCAAAGTCAGCATATAGTCCACTATATGCTGACAGCACAGAGCTGCGCTGTGGCCAGGAAAGATTCCAACAATATTGTCGGGATACACCTTGCTGCCTGATTGACAGCTCGCTCTGCCTCTCTAGAACCAGCTGTGCCCGCCCCCTCCAATGAGAGCTGGAGGAACGGAGAGGGGTAAACCCTGCAGGGAGCAGTGACTGGCAGTCCCAACTCGCTGCAGGTAGAAGACCGTGAGCTGATAAGCAGTTGCGATTGCTCAGCTCTCAATCAACAGAGAAGACGTGTGGAGGCTCAAACTATTGGAAAAAGTATATTTTACTCTCCCAATTACGAGGTGACTAGTCATGGAGCTGCAACGAGAGCACTACAGCGCTAGGATATTAAAGTTGGCCTGGACGAAGAACACTGTATGCAGAGGTTACACTCTACATTTGGGGATGAAGCACCATCGCGGGCAACATTCTTCCCATGGGATAGAGAAAGTAAAAATGAGCGGTCACTCCAGAAAACGATAAATGGAGGACAACGGATGCATCTACCATATGATAGAGACAACCATTGGCATTGGATCCACAGCAGTACACAAAATCCTGCATGAAGAATTAAAGGTTAGAAAAACTGTTTCACGCTGGGTTCCACGCTATCTTACCCGAGAGCAAAAAGTGTAGCGGATGAGAATCAGTCAACAAACACTGAAATTACTCAAAGATGGTGGTCACCGGATCATTTCTAAAATCATAACAGGTGATGACACCTACATTTCTTTTTACGATGTGCCGATACGTCGAGAAAGTAGAGTATGGGTGTTTGAAGATGACCAGACGCCGACCACTGTGAAAAGGCAACGATCGGTCAAAAAAGTAATGTATGCCGTTTTCTTCAGAAGTACAGGATTAGTGAAAGCTATTAAGCTAGGACAGAAGACTGCCAATGCATCCTGGTACACACAACATTGCCTACCTGAAGTTCTCTTGCTTGAAAACAAGGGGCTTAATGCTCCATCATGACAACGACTCTTCCCATGCTGCTGCGGCAACGTTAAACTGAGGGAAAATAAGGTCAAAGTTCCCGAACACCCACCATACTCACCTTATCTCGCAATGTGTGACTTCTGGTTATTCTTTAACCTTAAAAAGAATTTATGTGGTTGCCGTTTTATTGCCGAAGAGATAGATCCCGCCATAAGTGCTTTTTTTACTCCATTTTGGAAAGCGAGTGGCTTGACGCCTTCCGTCTATGGCAAATTCGTCTTCAGAAATGCATTGATAGGGACTACTGTGAAAACTCCTAAAGTTTGGCGAGTCTAGCTTGTATAGTTTCCCTGTATCTTAAAAATTTCAGAGTTACCTCGTAGTAATCTCAAAAGGTGAAGCGATACTTGAAGTAGAGAAGGAGCTAAATTGTGAAACATTCACAATTGAATCTAGGAGAGTTCTGAGCCCCCTTTATGTTTGTCAGCTTTTCAAAGGAAATAAATGAACTTGGTAATATAGTTCTCACAAAGCAAACATATGAAGCCAAAGTCCTGTCCTCTCATCGTGACTGCCACACAATTTATATACTGAAGCGTGAAGAACACATTTTTTCATAAAGCACACATCAGAAACCACCTTTCTCTACTCACCTGAGAGACACTACGTTCCCTAGCTCTGCTGGTAAACTTCTGAGCTTATTGGAAGAAAGGTCCAAATAAACCAGATTATGGAGCTTGGCAATATCAGGTGGGATACGGGAGAGGTTGTTATCGCTGAGGTGCAGCACAGTCAAGTGGGTCAATGACCAGAGCGATGTACTTAAGCTCCGCACTCGACCTAAAGAAGGCAAATAGAACCAGTTAACTAAACCATAATTAAACCAGTATAAAACATATCATGGTCAGAAACAGACATAACTCAACATATGTCAATACTGTGGATTAGTCAGCTATTTAATTTGTCAAACATGCATTTAAATGTAGTGAACATTACATGTATTAAAAACTTGCAGCAACCCATTCTCATTGCTCTCCCAAACACGACAAACCATCCACTTTAAATACACAAGCTCTAAATGGACACATCTTATATTCTCCGTAATAGTAATCAGTGGAATCATTTCTTAAGGGGGTACCGTTAAATCATCACAACAGCATGTGCTAACATTCTATACAAGGGAATTATTACCATTTTTTTGCACATGGACAGGTAGATTACGCAGCAAAATCCTGCATAAAAAGTGGCCCGTAGCGTATCTCATCTCAAAAGACACACGTCCATACAAAATCATTAAATTTAGAATGACTGAAAGCCAAGGTCATTCTGCACCTGTACCACCTACACATTAGTGATATTTACATCTTTTCCCTACCCGTTTTTACCTTACCGTGTCATTCACTAGGTAGCAGTGCAGAATTAACTCAGCCTTCTGAATGACTGAAGGTTAAGGTCATTCTGCGTCTGGGCTACCTCCTACACATTGTTTAGGTTTGATGGAATCATGTATACCCATAGCCCAGAAGGGGGACAAAGGCATCATAGTGGGAGTTAATGTGCAACCTTTTTTTTTTTATTTCATCTAAAAGAGTTCCACGTTGGTTCTCCCTTTTCAGAAGCTAAGCCAAGTGGAAGTCTTTCCTCTCCCATTGAGTATTCCAGCAGGGGACAGAGAGACCATAGAAAAGCATGACCCTACCAGGATGGCGCTGGTGTTCCAGGTTGGTAGCACTGAAAGCTGTATGTTTTACTCTATTTTGCTACAAAAAAAAAA